CTCTGAAAGAGGAGGCCTACATAATGAGAACTTTAAGTTATAATTTTGTATATGTATATATATATATTATAAGAAGAAGAAAGGAAGAAGAAGAAGAAATAAAAGGAGAGAGGTGTTGTTTGAATGTGACCCTACGTTTGACCATGCTTCGCTCTCAGTACTTTTTTAGAATCTCAATTTTTGATAGATACTGGGATTTCAGTTCATTCAAATGCAACCTACGTTCGAACGTGACTTGTTCAGAATCGAGATATTGAGGGTTGAGGATGTTCGAACGTGGGAATCTCTCTCGAACGTGACATGTATTCTATTTAAATTAGTCTCTAACGGCTATATTATTATAACCCTATCAAGGGGTGTCTTCTGTCATGGTTTTGAAGGGTTACACTCCTTCATTAAGAGTTGCATAGAACACTATAAATAAGTTCAAATGCAAGAATAAAGTACCAAGAATTTAATCTTTCTTTTTTTCTTGATTCAAAGCTTTTATATTTTTTGATTTTCTATTTGAGTTGAGTTTTGATTTCAAGATTACAAAATAGTGTTGATAATCTTAAAGTTAGACATTGTATATTGGGGGTAGAATTTTCAAGAATCCATTTGTATTATAAGTGAAAAAATTATTATTTCGAACATAACGAGTGTCGCGTCTGACTAGTGACTTATTTTCTTCGATTATCTCTTTGCTTTTCTACTACTTAAAATTGTTTTACCACATATTTTTCTACAACATAGTGGAGACAGGCCATGTGATGTTGGACAACTACTTTTGATGGAAACAAGCGAGCACTAACATTTTTCCAAAGTTTAAATTTTGCACCTGTCAATAGCTAGCTAGTAAATAATAATACAATAGAAACTTGTTTGAACAAGTGTTAGTAAGTTCTGGAGATGAGAGCAATGCAAACGAAAATATTTGACAAAAAAAAAAAATTGTGATTTTTATATGTACAAATACACGTAAAATAATACATTTGTTATTTATTTGGTAAATGTAAGTACAACTTGTTGAGCCACGTGTACTTACTTTTGAATCTTATTTCTAATCTTTTCTGCACTTACTATTTACCACTTTTGATTGTAAAAATTACAATCATTTCCCTTTTGAGAGAGAAAAAGAAGTAAAGTGTGGGGTTGGGCATCAAGATTTGGTAAAGAATAGATCTTGAATAGCAGTCAACAATTTCAGGTTGTGCGGGCCTGAGCTGTTAACCACTTACCCCTCAGCCTGTGATGGCCACCACACAAACGTATCAAAAAATTTTATACGAAATAATGTGACATAATTTTTATTCTTAAATATTATTAAATTTTAAGAAAAATTTTCATAATAATTCAAAAATTAATTTATTCAATCACAAACTTAATATTCATCATTAAATTTTAACAAATAATCGAAACTAACTTAAACTATAATTATTCTAATAAATTAAACCTAGGTATATGAAGTACTTAACTTATCACAATAAAACTGTTCAAACTACCAAATCAAAATAATTTGGTCTAATTATAATGGAAGACTACAAGTCCTAATTCCAATTCTACAAATAAAAATAAAACAAATGAGACGACTACAAGTCCTAATTCCAATTCAACATATAAAAATAAAATCTTAGAGAGGACTACAAATCTAAATATCAATTAAATATATAAAAAAATAAATCATAGAAGAGGACTATAACCCCAATTTTATTTCAACATAGAAAAATAAATATAAGACTACAAATTCTAGTTTTAATTCAATACATAAAAATAAAACATAAGAGATGATTACAAGTCCTAATTTTATATTTTTCAATTCAACATGTAACAAATAACATACAACAGAGAGCTACAAACACTAATTTCAATTCAACATTTAAAAAACATAAATTTAGTTCGATGTATAAACATAAAACAAATGACATGGCTAACATATTTCGTAACATATTAGTTAATCTTTAAATGTCAAAATTTTTGATATCATCTTTCATTGATATTTACAAGTGAGACTCGTATATTTGTCAAAATAATATAACTATACTTAAATCTTTTAAAAAAAATCAATGGGGCAAATATTTAATAAATTTAAATTTTTTAAAATTATACTTAGGTCCCAAAAATTTTTAAAATTTCAATCGAGGCAACTGCCTAGTGTGAATCCGCCCCTAGTCTCATATGAATTAAGAATAATGCTAGATGAGTTTAAAAATAGACTTGATAATCTCAACTATTACATATATAGTGAGTCTCAATAAATGTTGATACTTACAGTAAAATAAATTAATGGTTGAATTAAGAATGTTTGTATACGTCAGCTTTGGCTTTGTCCACTCCGTTTGCATGTTTTGGACTTTATATATATCTTCATCCTATCATTTCTCTCTTGTTTTGCGTCGAATTTTTCACATCTTCATGGCGGCGAAGAAGCTGTGTGAGAGTTTTTCCAAGGGTTTGATCGAAGAGGTACACAAATGGGGTAGTATGAAGCAGACGGGTGTGAGTCTCAGGTATATGATGGAGTTTGGGTCCACACCCACCGACAAGAATTTGCTCATTTCCGCTCAGTTTCTTCACAAAGAACTTCCAATTAGGATTGCCCGGAGGGCTATTGAGCTCCAGACCCTGCCTTACGCCTTATCCCAAAAGCCCGCTATTCTCAAAGTAAATAACTCTTTACCATTTTCCTTCATTTCATTGCTCTTGATTGATGGGGGGAGGTTATTGTGGTGGCGGCCCAAGGCTATTGAGGGTCTTGTTGGGTTTCTGTTTTTGTATTGTGCTTTACATCAGTTAATGTTTGTTGGTATTTTACTACAGGGTTTAGTGACGAACCCTAAAGGTAACGGACAATTTGGACATAGGCTTTTAGAAATGGGAGTTTTATCGTCTGTCTAATTGTTTTTACGTTTTTTAATTGATTATTCGACTATGAGAAGGAAGTTAGTTTTTCCTGCTGTGTGGATCTTATTCTTTTAGGCACTCTTTTCTCATTCAAGTTATCACTTTACATTTGCTTTGCATGTTCTTAAAATGGGTTTATTATGCTGTTTTGCTTGTGGCTTTGCTTTTCCTTCTACGTTGACAGCTTTATCAGACAGACTAGCCTCATACTCTTTGCAATGAATTCTGTAGAATGTGCTTCTTTCTATGCTTCATTTGTGGTTAATTTTAGTCTCTATGTATGGATTGTACTAATGCCATATTGAACTATTTATTACCTGTAAGGTGCGGGATTGGTATTTGGACTCTTTTCGTGACCTTAGATCCTTCCCAGAGATTAAGGATAAGATTAATGAGTTGGAATTCACCGAAATTATCAAGATGATTAAGGTCAGACACAACAATGTTGTTCCTACAATGGCTTTGGGAATCCAACAGTTGAAGAAAAGTCTGGGTCCCAAGGTTGATTACAAGGATCTTGATGAAATTCACCAGTTTCTGGATCGCTTTTACATGTCAAGAATTGGTATTCGCATGCTTATTGGTTAGCCCCATCTTTCTTTTGTCATTCGTTGTACTTGATTCTTTTCTGGTTGTACCCTTTTTAACACCTCGTTCTCTTTTCACATAATTTTATGCTAGAGCCAATGGAAGTGGATGCTAAAAGTGTGTTTTTGTAATTAAAACTTGGGTGAAACTCAGGGCAGCACGTGGCATTGCATGATCGCAACCCTCCTCCTGACTGTGTGGGTTATATACATACAAAAATGTCTCCTTTAGAGGTAGCACGAAGTGCCAGTGAGGATGCCCGTTCCATTTGCTTACGGGAGTATGGCAGCGCTCCTGACATTAATATCTATGGAGATCCTGATTTTACATTCCCGTAAGTTAATTTGCTAGTTAGTCTTCTGTTCTTATAACACTACAGAGTTTTCTTACAGCTCTGGCTTTTTCTTTCAATGTCATTTTCCTGAGCATAGGAATATTGTCTCACTATACTTTTATCGACCGCTTGCTCTTCTGGATCATTATTTTCAATTCGTAAAAAAAGTTTTGTTAAATTTCTCAATGTCAATGCATTATGATTTCCAAATGAATAGGGTTGAATATCAGTTCTACTCCAGTCAATATCCTATGTTTATTTTGTTAAATCTATTGGCAGTTACGTACCGGCACATTTACATCTGATGGTATTTGAGTTGGTTAAGAACTCCTTGCGTGCAGTCCAAGAGCAGTTTATGGACTTGGACAAAATTGCACCTCCTGTTCGAATAATTGTTGCTGATGGATTAGAGGATGTTACCATTAAGGCATGTGTTTTGTTATTTTTTTTCATTCATCTTAAGTTTCTGATCTGGAGAAACTTTGATGAGAAAAAACATGCTGGTGTCAACTAGACGAGTTTTTCCCCCTATGCATTCTTTAACAAGTTATTTTATCTCATATTGTAGGTATCTGATGAAGGGGGTGGAATACCAAGAAGTGGTCTCCCTAAAATTTTTACATATCTCTACAGCACTGCTCAAAACCCTCTCGATGAGCAGGTAGATGAACTGGGAACATCTAATGTGGCAACAATGGCTGGTTATGGATATGGGATTCCAATAAGCCGCTTGTATGCTCGATACTTTGGAGGGGATCTGCAAATCATCTCTATGGAAGGATATGGTAAGTTGAGCATCATATTATTTTGTTGGGCTGTTATGAATCCATTATCCTTTTAAGAATGAGCAAAGCAGTGTTTTCAATCTTGCCCCCTCCCCACCTCCACAAAACCCCCCAAAAACCCAAAAAAATGGAAAAAAAAAAAGTTTGTAGCCTGGCTTATTTACTTCTTACAGAGAAAAGAACATGACGAAACAGCATGATGTTGTTGCTGTCTGGGTATTTTGCTTGAGGTAGATAGCCATGAAAATGGTTTTTATGGGGCATCAGAGCTTAAAGAAGTTGTGTTTGAGTTTCTCGGTTTACAGCTGGTTATCGGACAGCTATTTTGAAGAAAATGTTGCCTCCTTTTATTCTAACCTTGAGAATAGAAACATCTGCAGTACAATTGGATCTATTAAATGGTGTGTAGTGGCCAGAAGCCTGATTTAAAAATGTTAGAGCCCACTCCGTATCTTCTCTTCACGATTGGCTATATATACAGAGTGATGGTCAGAATGTAGAAATGACATCTCCAATAAATCGTTAGAAGTGTTATAGTTAGAAACGCTCGAGCTAATATTGCCAAGAGTTATAAGGGACACACTGTGTAGCCATATACGCAGCTTGTGATAGTAGCATCTGTGCCGGCAGGGGAAGCCATCCATGTGTAATATGCTTGAAGACTGACCTGAAAGATATAAAATCCTGACTCTGGCAGTTCCTCATAATGAAACTGCAGATATGTGCAATAATATTATTCCTTGAGAAACTGTGAGTTGTTGGGACAAAGTTGAAAATCTTAGTTGTGGCCCACTCTTACAGATTTCCATGTGATTGCTAGGCATTATAAGGATTTGAAATGGAATCCAAGATCTGAGAGTCATGCATGTTGAACCATTAGATTTTAGTTTTCATCTCTAGTAATATTGGCAAAAATTTTCTCTTAACTATAGATCCATGCTACAAATTTCCCAAGTTTTATTTTCCTTATTAAGTAACTTAGATGTTCCTTCTTGTGTTTTCAGATTGATATACGAATAATTATCCTTTCTTTTGTTTATATCCTAGCATGTTACTATTCATAGTATCATAGTATTGATTTTACGTTTATTTCTTATATAATCCTTCTTGGATATCTTGTTCACTCCAATTTTACCTTTTGATTCTCCTCCTAAATTTGGTCCTGTATCTTAGATTTGTTTTGTGTTCTTACAGGGACAGATGCATATCTTCATTTGTCTCGGCTGGGAGATTCTCAAGAACCCTTGCCTTGAATATACTGGTCATGGCTTCGGCTTCAAAATTCTTGAATTCTTCAAATCAACTCGTGTAAATACTTGAACATGGGAAAATTGACTTCATTGTTAAAGGAATTAGTCGCGGCCAATTCCTTTTTTGGCCACTAAAATTGCCATCTTTCTTGTAGTACTTTGCGTATCTGCTTTGTCAGGTATTATATATACTCATTAGCACCCTTGTCAAACACCATGAAGTAAAAACAAAGGAAAATTTCACCATTCACACTGAAGAAGCAAACGACTGTCCAATATCAGTTCTTCTATTGAATTGACTGTTTGCATTGTAATTTGTGGTCTAATTCACCGACGAAAGATGATAATTGGTTCATTTCCACGGCAGAAACAGGTTTCGGGAGGGGCCCTTTTTCTGTAGATTTAATGAGAACTGTCAATTAAACACAATGGCCTTGCATATGATTGCAATGCATATATAATTTATAGCTCCTCGGAAGCTGATTAGCGGCTAGTCATGGTGCTTTGTTCTCATTTCATGATTGACTTGACATTGATGGAGGACTTGTAAATTGATAAGCACGCTTGGCGGAATCAAGAATGTTGGAGAGGAGCATGGAGAGGGTGACAGGTCCAACACCTCCAGGCACGGGGGTAATACCGATGCCTTTTTGATTGCTTCTTCATAGCAAACGTCTCCGACCATGCGGTAACCATGCAAGCTATTGGGATCCTTAACTGAATTGGTTCCCATGTCGATCACAACTGCACCTGGTTTCAGCCAGTGGCATTGAATCAAGTTGGGAACTCCTACATCCAAAACCAGAATAACGGCTCCACAAGGCAGTTCTTCTGGGTTCTTCGTGTATGAATGGACCAAGCTGACTGTCTCGTGGTGTCTCTGCAACGGCAAGGAAGTGGGCAATCCGGCAATCTTGCTTCTGCCAATTACCGCTGCTTTCTTGCCGATGAGTTCGACACCAGACCTAAGCAGCAACTCAATACAAGCGTTGGGGACACAAGGGATGAACAATGGCTCATGGCAAGGTTACCCATATGAAGGGGATGGAAGCCATCCACATCTTTTTCTACGCTCACTACATTGATAATCTTCTCCTCATCCAAATGCTCTGGCAGGGGAAGTTGGACTATAATGCACTGATGGGTTCTCATTAAAGCATGAAACAGCTTCTGAAAGTTCACCTTCGGTGCATTCTGGAGGGAGTTGTGTCACGAACGATGCAATTCCAACTTCATCACAAGCTCTGGTCTTGATGCGGACGAAAGCGTGGGAGTCTCTTCTTTGGCCCACCAGAATGACTCATAATCCAGGAATCTTTGCAATGGAATCTTCATCTGCAAATTTCATGTGCTATTCTGGCTTTTATGTCAGTTGCAATTGACTTCGAACGCCTGGTGGTAGATGTGTGGGTACAACCACCACCAGTGGGAGTCCAAAAATCAGGGAGGTCAACATCTGTGAGCCCGAGAGGAGGACAGTGAAGGAAGCGTTTCAGAATATCCGGCAGAACTGAAGATGAATGGATTGCTTTCTTCGCCGAGCTTCGGCCCCAGCCCACCACCGCAGCAGCAGCACCTTGCATGTCCCTCGGGAAAACTACTCTCTCCGTCAAGATGTAAGACCCAGTAATGGACAGCTGCAATTTTTACAGACTCATTCTACCACGATATTTTTGAGAGTGGGTGGGTTGTTCTTTCTTATCCTTTCCCTTTTTTTCTTCTCTTCTTTTATTGGGATACCATCACAGGTTCGACAGTGTGGCGAGAGGGTCTGCATTTGGAGGATCATGGAGTAGTGGTTCAAACGCCATATTAATTAAACACCTCGTTGGTTTTAGATTGCAGTAATCTTAATCCAAAAACCAGAAGAATATGGTTGTAATTTTTTTGTTAAAAACTTGAGCAAGGATGGATGCACTCTTTTCGTATGGTATGGTATGGTCTGCCCCTCGCTCCGTCGCCCTTTATCCCTCACCATCTGTTACTAACCTCACAATTTTGAGGTTCAAAATGTGTCTCAACAAACAAATGGTGTCAATCTAAATACAAGTCACAATAAACAATCAATGGACATGTTAGAGTAAACAAATAGGCTATTCCCTCCCGTCCATCCATGCCTCCGAATTTTACCCAAATAACATCGTCAGTTATAATCAACCGGTAAAACCTTCTGTGGGAAAAAAAAAAAACAAATAGATAATCAAACATTAATAGCAATATGCTTCTCATTTTGTTTGGCTACATCATTGCTATCTCCACAAAACCAAATCTATATTTCACGAGAATCACAGCTGACGAGGAGAATTTTGGTTAACAACGAAAGGAGAAGTATTTGGCCATCAATGCCTTCTGTGCTTTGCGCCCTTCCGTGACTGTTTGCCTCTGATCTTCCATTTATCAACACTTGCTGGTCGGTTATGTTCTTCAATCTCCCGAACCTTGCGCTTCCTGCAAACAGTGCAAAATGGAAAGAGAAATGAGCAGCATAATTGAACATAGTAGCAAACAAGCTTCATCTGCTCCCTGGTGGAAGTGAACTCCAATTTAAAAAAAATAAATAACCAAAGTATATTGTGGGGCCAGTCAGTCATACACTGCTTATAATTTGTAATGTATTATCTTAAGATACTGCAAGACGCAAGTTTTGGACAGTTTGGTCTATCCAACTATTATTTTTCGGGTTAACATTAGCTCTATATAGTAACGTAAAAAAGCTTAATAGGTATCCTGTACTCCAATTTGCTTTATGGAATAGATCATAAGGCATATCAATTAATAATCGCAATGAAAGCCATATGATATTCCATCCCCTTCCCCTCACTTCTTTACCCATTTCCCCCCCCCCCCCCCCCCCGTCTCCCCCCTTTTTTCTTTTGTCCCATCCTCTCTCCTTGTGGGTGAGAAGCATGCTCTAATATTTGTAGGAGAATAGATGTCTGCCATACCTGTACTCTGCTAGGGTATGATCAAAAAGTAGCTCATCAGCAAGGGTTGCTTTCCTCTCCTTTTTAGTAAGTCTACCGGTGAAGAATTCTGATGCTGACTCTATCACTGTGCCCAACTGATTCATTGTCCAAATACCCAATTATTGTACAAATTAACCAAGCAGAATCAATACAATGCAAGATAAGGGAATGCATACAATCATTTATACTTCCTGTGTGTGTGCATATTATTCAACCACAGACTAACCTGGAAATATTTGGGAAGTGCTCTTGATTTTGAATCACCCTTCTTGTAGTGCCTCTTTGGATCAATGGCACTCCTCAACTGCAATCATTGAAAATGGTAAAACACAAATTACACACTATCCTTTTGGGAGAGATGAAAAATTCAACAAGCCACTATACCAAGATGTTTGTTATGGACAATTCAGCCATAAATGCTATGACCAAATGTTCGATGTTTACACAGGCTCTTTAGTAACACACCATTTCATTCCAAAGCCTCTCCGTATATAGAGGTTGTGTAAAACCTTTTGTTTCAAGTTGTAAAATGCTGGACTTAGCAGCTGTCTTACAAAGCCTGACACCCCAACTTATATGGGCCCAATCACCATTGAGCTCAACAAAACAGATGACCCTGTAAAGTTGGGTTCTTAAATTCAACATTCCGTAATCAACTTGGACTACTCCTAGGGCATGGTAATTTTCTCAGAAATGTGATGGCCGGTAATGAAGCACACTCTAAAAAAGGTAAGGTGATGTATGAGTCAGACACCGACCCTCATCAGACACTCTCAAACATATGTCCGATATTATTTTTTTTGCGTCCATAATTAAATAAAAAAAATGATGATTACCGATTATTATGGTGCTTTAGTCCAAAGATTCACACTAGATGACTAGACCTAAAATTTACTTAGCGTAAGGTACATAATTTTTTATGAATAATATATCATTATAAATATTTGTGATAAATTATAGGGGTGACAATTGAGTCGTGTTTTGTTAGATTCGTATCGGATCATTGCAGATTCATGTTGAACATTAGTCAATCCTAACCCCACCCATTTAGCTAATTGTGTTGTATCGAGAAGACCATTTTATTTTTGTGTTATGTTCGTATTCGTATTCGTGTTCGTGTTGACCCACATAAAATTTGAATAAAAAATTTAACGCGAATATCTATTTTCACTTAATTGAATCCATGCTCATACATTTTTTATAAACTAAAAATTAATTTAATAAACATAATAATAATAATGAATAATTTTTTTTTAATACAATAATTATGTCAGTACTTATTAAACAATTACAAATAATTAATATTTTATTTCTATAATACTAGTTAACAATGTTAATTTCGTGCTGTTCGTGTTACCATACAAACGAGAAAAAAGAGAATATCCATTCTTAAATAAACGGGTTGATCGTATCAATTTCGGGTTTGGTGGGTTAAACTCGAATCTAATCCATTTATATTTAGTGTTTGCATGAATTCGAGTTAAGTTATAATCAAGTTCGTGTCATAAAATTCATGTCGAATTCGAGTCATGTTGAGTGGCAAATTGTCACCCCTAATAAATTATATAATTTTATATAAAAAAACAATTATCTATAGTGTGTCCCCAACATGTCCACGTCCTACTCTTTTTATAAATGTCAAGTCTAAGTGTCCGTATCGGATCATATCCGTGTCTGTGCTTCTTAGGCCGGTATTAATGTTTCATTTTACAACAATAGAAAATAGAGGAAGAAGAAGAAGACATTGTCAAAACTAAATCTATGATTGCCGAAGGAAACAAAATAAACTACATTCTTGCATGATGTCATTTAGCAGAATTAGTTGCCTGACTAGGCATTCCTCACATTTGTTCATTTTGCATTGTTTGTGGCAGGGAAACAATAACGCTAATGGAGGAACTAGAAAGCATCAAAATATTTCTTGTAAATGTAGGGTAAACCTCCTACCATTAACCTATCTACATCATTGACAAGGTCAAACATGATTTAATGAAAATTTGCAGTGAATGAAGATTGTGAGGAACAATAACAAGTATGGAGTTTGTGAAAATTAAAAAGATTTAACTTCTACCTATTGTACCATAGATTGAACCATTTCCGTTGTGTTGTGATAATTGGGGAAAATATAATAGTTTAAGACAAGGTCTAGTAGCTAATATCATCTATCCCTCTCCCCCCCCCCCCCCCCTCCCTCCCAAAAAAATAAAAAAACAACGCACACAGATATCTTATTTACACCCTTTAAGAGCTTCTGAATACAGGGAAAGGATGTTCTCATTCCATAAAAATCATTGAGGCTCAGGCAACAACAACATATAATCTTTGATAAAACAGAAAGAAAGAATAGCAAAAACCTTAACTTTCAATCTAGGTAGTTTTTTTACCAGAAGTCGCTGAAGTATGAATCTCTCGTGCAAGTACATTAATCTAACAAATATTGACCACCTGGAAAGCAAAATTAACTTTGATTACCTGACCCTCTCTAATTGGCTATATTTACGCAAAAAATTTGTCCATACAATTGCAAAAAATTCATTGCAGCAAGACCCAAGTTGCAAAAAAACGCACAAGTCTACTGCTTAACCCTTTCTTTGGAACTCAGATATAGTAAATGAAAGTAAATGGAAAAGCGTGGTGAGGTAAAGACAAATTCCCTCATATTTTTCTCATAGTTAAATAAAATTGCAAACTAAACAGTACCCAAATTTGATTGGAAATCAAGCAAAAGAAAAAGGAAATTGAGTCATTAAATCAAAAAATAACATCTCTTATATTATCTTTTCCCCCTTGGTTTCCTTGCAACCAAGCAAGAGAAAATGATTTCTTTATTAAATTTTATTTTCCTTCCCTCATGGATTCCAACATCCAAACAAAGTGCAAGTGAATTAACATAACAAAAAATTCTATAATGTACTAGTTGCTTTTATAAACAACTAAAAAGTCACCTTACCTTTAGAAGCTGGAGATCTTTCTTCAGCTCAGGAGTAATGGTTGGGGCAGGCATATCAAACCTATTCACATTTTGTAGCAACCAACCCACATCAATAACTCAGCAATTGGTCATAAAAAAATATATATGGGCTAACAATGAGAAAATAATCTTGATCAGAATATATCCTTACCAATTTTTCCCGGCTGTATCTTTGACTTGTTTTCTCAGTAATTTGTTCACCTCTCTAGGATTATTAGGTGGAACAAAAAGACCATCAATGAGCTCGGTCTTGGATTTGAATAAGGCACTGGTCTCACACATATTTTGAGATTTATTAGAACCACTTTTGGTTCCAGATGACGAGAATGAAGGCAGCTTCGGTTCCCACGAAAGTCCCACCACTGACTTGCTTTTAGACATTCTGAATTATATATATATACACACACGCACATATGTATCATATTAAAATACTAGTAATTACTCATGCCGGAAGGCATAGAGTAAAAAAAAAAAAATTGACAATTAAGAAAAATGACCATCAGCAAGAGAAAAGTAGTGCACATAGCCCATTTAGAGACCAAATAAGTTGCTAGCCTAATAAACTAAAAACTTTGGGCATAGGACCCCCAGAATAGGACCCCCAAGAATCAGAAAAAAGAGGGCTATAATAAATTAGAGACCACAAATTTAAATAGCAAACAAAATAATGCGTTTCAATCCCTTGCAATTCTCACTTCTTCTGCACAGTAACATCAAAATGACAATTTGGTAAACTATATGGAAGTGTAGGAAGAATGATAGCATGATGAAACACATACATTTCTGGTCCAGTCCATATAGTAGAAATAGTGCTTTCGACTTTGATAAATAAAGATGATATTCATTCTTGAAATTAATGAATGTTACTGAGAGAGAAGAAACAAATAATGGAATGAAGTAATTCACTACAAAACTAAATGAGGGAATGAATGCGTGAAATTCAAATGGAGTGTTTTAACCTTATGGCCACAGAACACAAATAAAGTTCCAGTTGCTACAATATAAACACTTGGAATAATCATCTTCACTTACTCCCTCTTTCTCTCTCTTCTCACCCCCAAATCCATCACCGAAGTTCCAATCCTATCCCAATTAAAACTCCAAAAAATGCGAGAAGGTTTCAGCTATCAAATAGCCTCTACTACACTACAAAAATTGTCATCAACTATGCCGTCTCAAATTCCTAAAACCATCATAAACAACAGTTTTTTTTCTCTCACCGATCAAAAATAAACATTATTTTAGGACGATTCTTAAGGTGGGCATGTAAAAAAATGACAGCTTTTTCATTCACAGCTCCATCATAAACTGATGGTACAAAGAAGAAGCAGAAGATTGGCCAAAATGGCACTAAAAATGTGCGGGTGAGTGTCGACCTTCGCCTGTGTGTGAAGCAGTGTGTGGGAATCACTGATTTTGCGTGTGCGTGGGTGAGTGTGTCGATTTTGTGTGTGTGTGAGAGAGAGAGAGGGGGGGGGGGGGGAGGGAGGGAGTCCCTGGCTGGCTCTCCGGTGGCGGGTGGATGCGCCGGCAAAGTGAGGGAGACAGGAGAGGGGGAGGAAGAGAAAGAAGAGGAGTACCTTGCTGAATCTCCAGGGATGGCTGTTCCGGCAAAGAGAGGAGAGTCAGACGGTAGAGAAGGAGGGAGGAAAAGAAAGAAGAGGGGGGCTGGCAGTTAGGGCACAATCAGGGCAGCAGCTAGGGAGGAGAAGATCTATGAGGGGGAGACGGAGGTAGTAAATGGAGAAGGTTTAAAACCCTATTCAGATAAACTTAAATAAAAAAATCAAATCCAAATCATTGCCTCTGATTTAGGAAACCAGTGTGAGTGCGCATTGCAGTGTTAGTTAAGGGCGGGCACAAATCAATTACCTGGTTTACTGCGTGCGACTGCGACTGCGACTGCGAGAGAAGATGAGTGAGATCGTCGCCTGAGAGGTTTGTTGAGAGAGTGAGAGAGAGAGGGGAAGATATCGTATCTTGTATGAGAGAGGAGAGGCAGCGATGATGAGTTGGGCTAATGAGAATCGGACAAAAATTTTAGGGCTAATAAAAACTTGGGGATGTAAAACATAGTTTTAAAACTTGGGCTGGAGGTCAATCCGGTAAGGAGGCCGGGTCATTGGTTCAACCTCTAAGTCACTCGTCAGATCGATTACTTAATGAAAATATTAATAATAAAAAATATAACAAAAAATATCACAAATATAAAGATAATTATGTTTAATGTATACTAATAAATACACATGCATTGCACATGAATTATTTTACGCAACTATTTTAATTTGTACTTTTGTATCTCTCTATGTACATATCATCACATTAACAATTTTGATGTGTTATATATTCTCTTTTCAAAATAAAAATACTAAAACTATGTGTACATATTTGTGATAAAGACTTAAACACCACACTCAATGCATTTTATATAAAAAAAAATAGCACACACATAAATAATATGAATTAATATTGAAGTTATTAGAATTAACGAAAAAAAAAAGGCAACCTTCCCATATTCTTTTAAATTTAACAGCATGTACCAATGACCCATGAAGTAAATATTTTCATTCATATTAAAAACACTAAAACTAACGGTGATGACTATAGTCTTAGTCAATCACCTTGGAGGAAGCTCTAAGCTCTATGGGCCTAGGATGATGGAGCGATGGTGGTGCCGACTTTTTGGGCTAAGGTAGGCTTGACAACATCCTTGTTTGGGAGTGAGATCAAATGTAGCTTAGGTGGTGTAGAGCTTGATTCATGCTCAAAATAGCGTTACTCAGAGCTTTACATTATCTAATATTTACAAAGGAATCCATTGATAGGTCATAACCAAAACCCGAGCCTACTTTACAAGTAGATCATGTACCTTCGCTAGGTCTGAATGAACTTCCCCTAAAAACTCAAGTACAAAACTTTCTGGTTGTCTAAGAAAATCAAATACGGATGGACTAAATAAAGGATTCTAAAAAATGTATTCAAAATTTAGTAGAGTAAAAGTCCTAACCATAAGAGGGACAGAAGGGAGAGACACCAATCTAAAAATTTGATGACATCTAGTATCTGTTTCGATGAAAGGTCTCCCCTATTTTTGCTTGAGCTTTAAGATAAAACCAGGAACATATGTCACAACATTTCATGGGATAATGGACATAACCATTTATTGGAGAATAACTTTTGAAGAATGCCCCAGCTTCACAGATGGACAGGGGTTCATTGCAATGACTCCACTGCCTCAAGTTTCCTCTTTGATTGTAGAGGACTTCAAAGAAAAACAATAAGCTATTTCGTCATGCTTGAGAAAATGAATCTACTGTTTATAGAAGCTCAAAAACAAAGAATGTGTACAAGGAGAATTTAATGCAGAAAATAGCATATAATTACCCATTATATGTACTATTTTACACCATATATGGTGTATGTCTCTTCACTCTTTCTTTTTTCATATGACAAAGATATATCAGTGATAGTCAATCACGACCTTGTAGCAAAAATATTCATATGCGCTTTCTACCCACTATCTGCACTATATATTCTAACCTAGCTTCCCTATTTCCAAAAATATAATGTAGGATTTATAAACTATATCACACCAACACAAAATTCATCTTACATGGCAAAAGCACAAATGTTAGACTTGGTTGAAGTGGACTTCCAAAAACCAGAACAACAAATGATAAGGGAAATGAGGTTAGAACCCATAACCACTCCTTTCACTTCTTTATATTCTACATACATCTACAAGCAAATGGAAACACAAATTTCATGTTCTATGAATGAACTCGATTCCACTTCTTCTGTAAAACAATACACATGTATCATAGAAGAAAAGATGATAATAGGATTAATAAATAGTATATTTGGTGATGAATTAGATATAATCTTCTTTTTTTGTAAGAGTGATGAATTAAATATAATTAACTGAATATTTTTTGATGTGTTGCCTATAATCAACTCATTATTTTTAACTCTTTGTAAGTAGATCACATCCATAGGTGTATTTGTGTTTTTTTAACTAAACTGGGCCTAAATCTGAAAAGGAGAAAGTAACCAAATGAAGAGTAAGTTAGGGGTTAACGAAATCAACCAATATAAATGCTAAAACACCGAAAAAAAAAAAGACAAAAAATAAATTCAACGCAAATTGTGTATGAGAAAATAACATAGATATAGAAAAATGATGCAAAAAATAAAATTATTGAAACTTAATGATAGGATAATAATCGTGTAACTGACTTTTGTGGTTGCATCAAGATATGAAATTTTGATAAAAAACATAAACATAAAGCAAGGTCATATCATACACAGAATTAACCCAACCGCCAAAACGACATATCAAGGCCATAACTCTTTTTTCCCTCCCCATATACAAGCTTCTTTGATCAGTCATTCCTAAATAATTTGCCTATCTCCAAAAACATGAACCACTAATAAGAGGTGACATTAAGAAAATAAATAACAATGCCATATAATTAAATAATAATAAAACAATCTGATACAATTTAACACATCAAACTGAATGTTGTGAAAATGCTTTCTTTGTTTGTAAGATACTTTTATTCAAGACAATTTTTAGTTGGTAGCATGCCTAATAAATGGCCTAGATTATGTTGTGATTTCAAAACAAATCTGATCAGATTTGTCAAAATTTGGTAAAATATATTGTGGGATGATCTCTTTCAATGATCCAAACATGAATGGAAACAATGAGACTTTTAACCGGGTCAATCATTCCCATTGACCACAGCTATAAGAACACGTGATAGGCTTTATATTATTCGACTACGTTACTGTTTGTCTTAAAATAACAAACTTCCGATTTTTTTTCCATTTCCAAGACCCGATTCTCTATTTTTATCCCAAAATAATAAATTGAGTTTGTATAGGCATTTTGGACGCTGCTATTTCTTACTATATTTTTAGTTACTCCACCCATTTCGTAAAGTATTTGACCTGGTATAACAATAGCTACCTAATATTCAAGGATCCTTTACCCTAACCCATGCAACTGGTAACAAATAAATTACCACCCAATGCTCACACAACATTCGAGTTTATTCAAGAAAGCAATTTATGCTTTTCACATGAACTCCATAAATTTTGCCACCAGGTAGGCCAATTGCATGTGTGGCCACAACACATATTCTATAACCAATCATAACACAATTCTGCAATCTTGAACAACTTGGACGTGCATGATTTGATTTTGAAATTTGGAATCACACAATGAACAACAAAAACTTCGGTCTGTATAATGGCACATGCAAACAAATCCCTAAAAAATTTATCAGAACTTGGTTGAATTAAATAAAAGATGAAAGATTGGTTATTCAGATTTGCCAAATATTACTGTAATTGTCATGTCTTGACCACTTCTAGAAGTCCTGTTCGATTACTAAACCTTGAAAAGAGTCAAATGCAACATCAAAAACCAATTTAAGAAGCCTTTAAGGAAAATATAACGTCTTATGTAGTAAATCAATTAAACTACTATGACCCTCCTTCTTGGGTGCTATCCAATGAAGAGGAAAGGTATGAATCCAAAGCCTAATTGATGGACAGAATGACGATGCAAAGACAGGCCATCTGTCTTCTTATTGGGTTATGGAGATGGAAAATAAGTGACGACGATGAAGATCACTGGCAACGATCTTCTTATTGGCTTTAGTCGCCATAGATTTCTGAATCACAGGCAACGATGAAGTCGTGTTTGCTCGATTGTTGGTTTTGATGTGGTGTTTAGATTTATTTTGTGTGTGTATGAAAGAAAGCGTATAAGGGTTGTTGATCCTAGGGTTCATCGTGAAATAATCGGCAAGATGACAGAAAGGGGCAACCACCCTCAAAAACTCCAAACTCCCTATGATTTATTGATACATTGAATGTATGGAATAACAACCAAACAATCAATAGTTGAACAGTCTAAATAACCATGATCATTTTAAACAACATCAATGTTACTATTAACCAACAAAGATAGGATTGTAATTAGTCATTTTATCAGGGATATTTTAGTCAAACAAAAATTTTTCACTTTTGTTGACATTTTATAGTAGTATAGATATAGATTAGATCAAATAAAAACCCAAAAAATCAGACCAAAAAAATTTGTCAAATGCCAAATTGAAAACTCAGAATCACAATACCCAGTATATCAATTTAGATGATTCAATATCAAAATTCTAAATGTAACCTTACAAACCTCATAAATCCACCGATCAAAAAAATCACAACCACATCCTACAACAACACAAACAAAAAATTACAAAAAATAATGGAGCAAAAAATCAAATCTGCGTTGAAAACGCAAAGGAGAGAGAGAGATAGAGACAAACATGAAGACAGTGAGATTATGCTACAATAACCCAATGGGAAATGACTACAACCTATTCATTGGTAACACCACATCACATAAAGATTCTATAACAAGTTAAAGGAAAATAGGCCAAAACTGTTCAAATTCTTCACCAAAACCAATAGTTGTATACTTGGGTTTTATAAGATTTTATAGAGAATGAGGGGCCTTCGACTTTGTGTTGTGTTGTGTTGTGTCATCGATGGAGCATTATCAAAGATTAGCCAATTAGGGCATTATCAAAGATTCAATGTATTTAACACAGAGAATGAGGGGCATTATCAAAGATTCAATGTATAAAAATCAAAAATCAAATATAGCAGATTAGCCGATTAAGGCATATTCTGTCAACTGTGGACATGTTAGAGAGTAGAGAGAGAGAGTATATTGTACCTACTGTTGTCAATGGTCGTCGATGCTTCGATGGGAAGGAGCTTTGAAGCCTTCTTCCCATGCTTGCTCGTAGCGTCAGAGACACAAAGAGAGAACTAAGATTGAGACTTGAGATGAGAGGTTGAATCTGAAAGTTTGAAACTCATAGAGAGAAAGACTGGGCTGACTGCTTAGAGCTTGAGAAGTTCTTCGACTACTCGACTGTTGCGAAGAGGCAGAAGCAGAGGCAGAGGTAGAGTTGGTCTTCGTCGTTCGACTTCGATCAACTTGTTGGACAGAGTCGATTTATA